CCTGTCCAAAGGAACGCGCGGCGCCTGCTATCGATTGTTTCTCAAACAGATTTAGGGAGCAGCATTGTTAGCATGTAGTGGATAGGGAGGCTTCTAAGGATAGCGTTCACAAGGACAACACGGCCGCTCGAGCTAAGAAGCTTGGCCTTCCATCCGGCAAGGCAACGATCGAAAGACGAGATAAGAGGTTGATAGTCACAGACCCTGAGTTTGTGCAGCGACAAGGGGAGCCTGAGATAAGGCTAGGGGAAGGAAGAGACCGCAGAACCCAGGTGGTTGGCCATCAGCCCAGCAGCATCCCCATCAATTGCATTGGGACGAAGGTGGATTTATGGAAATTAATGTGCAGACCGGTGGCGGGTGAGAAGCTGTCAAGGACGTTCTTTAGGTTTGTGACCCCATCGATGTCGCCTTTTATCAGGATGAGCTTGTCGTCCGCATATTGGAGGACCGGATAGGGGAGGGAGGGATGATGGGGTGGCAGACCAGACCATCGGTGGCAGCCTTCTGCAGCAGGCATTGCAAGACGTCTGCAACGCTGATGAAGAGGTACGGGGAGATGGGGTCGCCTTGCCCGAGTCCACGACGGCACTGAAACCAGCGACTCGGGACGCCGTTCAGGAGGATGGATGTCTTGCCTGTGCGAAGGGTGCAGGAAATCCAGTCGCACCACAAGTCACCGAAGCCACAAGCACGCATGATACGATCGAGGCTGTCCCAAGAGACCGAGTCAAAAGCCTTTTTGAAATCAAGTTTGAGGACGGCGATAGGCTTGCGTCTCTTGTGGCAGCAGCTTAGGAGGTTGGCGGCATAGATGAATTTTTCCGCAATGTTCCTCCCGTGGACAAAGCCGATCTGATCCGGGTCTATCAGAGCGGGGATGTAGGGCCCGAGCCGATTTGCAAGGATTTTAGTAACTAGCTTCATCAGACAGTTTTGGAGGGAGATTGTCCTGAAGGTGTCTGCCGAATTTGCTCCGTCTTTATTGGGAAGGAGGACAAGGTGCGCGCGGGTTGGGGCCATCCAGGTCGGCGGACCCCCCGTGGAAGGAGTTTAGGGAGGCCAGGACATCATGTTTCGTACTTTCGTGTGGCTCTAGTAGGAACGGTAGAAGGCTGGACCAAAGTCGTCCGCCCTGGGGCTAGAATTTGAGTCCATATCGAAGAGCGTCGCGGTGGCCTCATCGAGGGAGAAAGGCTTAGTAAGACTGTCTCCAATAGTGTTGGCAAACCGTGACCCATCCCCAAAATGCATAGTGCACAGTGCTTTTGTGGTAAAAAAACACCCTCCAACAGAGTACCCAAACACGGAAGGCATTTTGCGTCGGAGGCAACACGGTACCCAAACTTGCATCCTCTCTCCGTCCCTTTGCGTCTCCTCCATGCGAGCTGCTGCTGGTCCGGGACCGCGGCGCCTCCACGACGGCGAGGCGGGACCGTGGCGCCGGCGGGGAAGCATAGCAGTGGTAGGTGGAGGAGAAGCATAGCACGGCGGCGGCGGTGAGGAGCTCGGCTCCGGCCGCGCTCGGCTCCGACAAAGGGTGGCGGTGGGTGGAAGCAGCAGTGGGGGTGGGTGGAAGAAGCAGAGCATGACGGCCACCACCACCACCACCACAGCCGCCGACCACCACCACCACCACGCACCACCGGCCGCCACCGGCCAGATCCGGGAGAGGGAGGGCCGGATCCGGCTGCCACCGGAAGGGCCGGGGAAGAAGAAGGGGAGGGTGGGCCGGATCCGGCCGAGGAAGAAGAAGAGGAGGGAGGGCCAGATCCGGCCGGGGAAGAAGAAGCGGAGGGAGGGCCGGATCCGGACGGGAGAGGGAGGGCCGGGGAAGAACAAGGGGAGGGAGCACCGGGGAAGAAGAAGGGGAGGGGCGCCGGTGGCAGGGAGAGGCGGGGTGCTCGGGGCGCTGGGGCGGGGTGCTCGAGAGTGGAGGGGTCGGCGGGGCGTTCTGTTGGAGAAGGCTAACTTTTGGGTGGTGACCTTTTTTCTGTGCTGGACCCAAATCAAGTAATAAGTGTTGTATTTGGGTCCTCATTGTTGGAGTCAGTCTAAGGGCTTGATCGTTGACAGCAAAGGATGGGTAAAGGTTAGAAAGGGAGAAGTCCCAGTGAGTTGGCATGGCGAGGCTAAGGAGGTTTGAGTAGAAGTTGCGGATGATAATAGCCTTGGGAGCATGGGAAGAGCAGAGAGAGTCATCGTCCTAAAGCTCCGGGATGTGGTTCCTTCGTCTCTGCCGGAAGTAGATGCGTGGAAAAAATGAGAGTTTTATCCCACTCGAAGGCAAGTTTTAGGCTGAAAGCGTTGGCGCCAATAGGTGAGCTTGTCTCGGAGAACATTTTGGAAGGTTGAGGCAGAGGCTACGCTCGAGCGGGTGGAGGAGTTGGCACTCTTCGAGGAGGTCAATGGAGTCGATGAGGGCTCGGAGGTCATTTTCCCGCTACCCGGGGGATTTGAGCCACTTCACCCAGTGTCTGCACTCATGGCGGCAGACCTTGATGCGGGAATAGAGAGAATGGTTTGCCGCGCCGGAGGCAGGGCCGGTCCAGGCGACGGAGACAAGGTCTACGAAACCAGGCTGGTTGGCCCAGTACTTCTCGTAGCGAAAGCAAGGAGATCTGGACAGCTTGGTGGAGATAGCCGCAAGGAGGGGGGCATGGTTAGAGACGATACGGGTGCGGGCCGAGAGAGTGGTGTTGGGGAACAAGGAGTCCCAACAATCGTTGATGAAGACCCGGTCTAGCCGAACAAGAGCTGGAGAATCCTGGCGATTGAACCACATGAATTGGCGGCCAAGGAGCGGAATTTCGACCAAAGCGAGATTATGAATTGTATTGTGTCAGGTACGCCTCTCTTATGGGCCACGGCCCAGTCACCTCGCAACAAGCCCCAGCAGCAGCTGCAAGAGGAAGGAAGGGGCCAGGGGGGCATTCGGCATCAATAAAAATATCATACAATAGAATATATTTTCCTTCTATTAGCTGTACTGTTCATCTTCTTCCTAAGTCTTCTGTACCTGGTTATTTGCCACTTGAATCAAGTAGCTGAGGGCAATCCTAGTTGGGTTGCTAAGATATTGTTCAACCGAGCGGCCTTGGAGGAGTGGAAGGCGCTGTTGTTCTTCTCCTCGGGAATCGTGCGAGGTTGAAGTCGCCAAAGACCATCCAGGGCTGGTTGTTAGGTGGGGCGAGCTGCTCCAGGTCGGCTAGGAAAGCCTGTTTGTCTGCGTGTGCAGTGGGGACGTACATGCAAGTGCAGGTGAAGGTTCTCCCGTCTGCACGAAAAAGACAGCATAGCAGAGACGGAACAGGGTATAGATGAAAACGGTTCGGAAAATGTCTTAACCATTTTCGCTCCCGTATTTTTTCCCGAGAACGAAAACGGGAACGGGAAGGCCGGATGGGAAAACGAAACCGGTATTACGGGATATCGGGAACTGAATATTTCGAACGGGAACGTGTCGATTACGATCGGGAAGCAGTAACACAAAACGAAAACATCAATATATGTATCCACTTAAAACAATGAGCTCGATGCAACAATAGCAACCATATGCAAACAAGTGGATAAGTTCCCTGGAGCATTGTTATATTGTTGAACCATGAAGGATACAGAATTGATGACTAAAACCGAAACTTAGCAACTACTATATATCGATATCGCCTTGCCTCATCCAGTGAACCCACACTGATATTGACTTCCCCTCCATGTTTAGAAACAAAAATAATTGACATCTATTTCTTCAGAATCTACCAGTTTGTTGCACACACCCGGTCAGTCTCATAGCTCACCATTTCTGACATCCCTGTTCTAGTCCAGATGTGGCTAATGCAGCAATATAGCTATGTGGAGGGAGACGCCACCAATCAGTTTTCAGTTCTGAATCCAAAAAAATCAGTGCAGCCTCACACGCAGGAGATGGTAACAGGTAGATAGCGCTACACTGGCACACGCTGATCAACAACCGGCGGCAGGTCAATCCAACTATTGAAGGGCCCCCTCCAGTGTCTCATCATGGGCGAACCACTTTCCAGCCAGAACAGCACCTGACCTTTACTCGTTGATGCAGACCGCTAACAGCTGATGCGGCTAGGGGCCGGAGGACGGGAGGAGGCCGGCAGGGGCCGGAGGACGGGAGGAGGCTGGCTGGCGCGCGCCGGGCCGAGGCGGAGGCGGGGCTGCGGGAGTTCGGCCAGCCGGGGGCAGCGGCACAGGCGCACAGCGCTCGGCCGCTCGCAGTCGCCAGGGGCAGCCGGGCAGTCTCGCTCTCGCAGAGAGGTGGAGGCGGCGCCGCACGGGATGGGAGTCGCTAAGTCGGGGACTCGGGGATAGCGGATAGGGTTTGGCAGCCGTTTTTGGGACGGACGGGATGGAGTAGCGGACGGGAGTGGGCTGGGCCTGTGGCGCGGGGGAGCTCAAGGTTTCGTGGGATGCATCAATCAGTGGGCTTAATATGAGGTTTAGGTGTACAAAATACGGGAATACCGCCGGGAATTTTCCTGTCCGAATACGGGAACCATGAATACGGTTGGGAAAATTCCTTAACTGATTCCGTTCCTATTCCCGTTCCTGCCTAAAATGCGGTGTCGGTTTCCCATTTCCTGTTTTTCCTGTAAAAACGGTATATGATTGGTTAATGTGGTATATGGTGTCGGTCGGTACGGGAATTTCCCGTCCCATTTTCATCCATAGAATAGGGGCTCTGCGAAGAGCTGATTAGAGCGAGGGCGGTAGGGTCCCAGGCGAGAACAATCCCACCTGCAACTCTAGCTGCATCGCGGCAGATGTGTTCAGAGAGGCGCACGGGGAGGAACGAGCGAGCTTTCGCAGTGGCGCGGCACTGATGAGCTCGGAGAGGACATCATCACTTTTATCGTCCTGGCTGAGACCGCGGACGTTCCAAGAGAGCAACGAGATTGATTTATGCATAAAAAAGAAGAGACACCAGGAGATAACACAAACTGGACTCCATTGACGGCACAAGTGAGGTGTACAGATTACATGGGCCACCGCTAAACCCAGACATCACAACAACAACATTGGGTAAGGGGGTGAACAGGTTACACTCAAGTGTATAGTAAAAAGAACAGTTCATAAAACTGTCAGCACCTTCACGGTGCATCTTTAGTTTATTATCACGGGTAGAGAACCGAGCTTTACTCCCGGTGGGGAACCCCCTATATGGAACGTTTCTACAAAAATCTAGATCCCCATGAAACACAACCTAAATTAACTTATAGAGTTATCTTAAGTCATACTATTTTAAGATACCAAATTAGTATCACCAATACATCATGACATATATTTTCAATATATAAGTGTTTGATGTCACATATGTTATTACTCTTTTCTATAGAGTCAGTCAAATTTAAGATAGGTAAACTTAAGGTGATGGAGTGAGCATCTCATGCAAGACAAGAAAAAGGATAGTCAAATTTGAAGTTTGACATGGATCTCAAAATGCAAAAACAATGAAAAATGGAGGGAGCAGTCAGCAGTGACGGATGTACCTTGAGGAAAACAGCGGTTGCAGGTGGAATAGTCTCAAACATATTGCCTGCGACAAACTGCACGTTGCCATCACATGGAGCACCAGCGACAACGTGCGGGAGGTCAAGCACGCTGCACTTGAGGTGCGGGAAGGCAGCGGCGACGATGGCGGTGGCGCCACCATGCCCACCGCTGACGTCGACCAACGAGTCGATCCCACGAAACACCTCGCCTCCTCGCCTGCGGCGAGGTGTTTCGTGGGATCGACTCGTTGGTCGAAGAAAGCCAAGGTCGCCAAGCTCACCTCGTCGCTGACGAGGAAGCGGGAGGCTGCCGTCAGCCTGTAGACAGCTTCGCCCGACGCGTCGACGGTTGAATCATCAACGCTGGTTGGTGGTGGCTGGACGCTGAAGGTGCCCAAGGCAGTGAGCGCGCGCATGAGGCTGCGTAGGGCGCGAAGCTTATTTGGGTGGAGCGCAGTCTCAGTGAGGATCTGGGGGAGGGTGGCGCCGCCGCCGTGGTGGTGGATCGCGTCGGGGATGCGGAGGACCATCGATTTGGCGAAGCACAGGGACAGGTGCCAGAGCTCGACGTAAGCTTGGAGCAAGTCCTGGCTGCTCTCCTCCACGAGTGCCATCGCGTCCACGTATCTATGTCCCGTATCTATACGCTGCTGGCTGGCTAATTCTGGTTCTCGATTGCTAGCGCTAGGCAGTTTATACAGTGTTCTGCTTGATGAGGTGCTCTAAAAGTCTAACCGCGTTCGGCTGTACTACTCTTTGCTTGTTTCAGCTTGTTTCAGCTTATTCTCTCACAGAATACTATTCAACCATCCAAAATAATTCAAAATTCACTATTCCACTTACCAGCCGAACGAGCTCATTAATTGCTCCACCAGTGCCGGCCCTAGGGCTAGGGCACGAGGTGCGACGGCCGAGGGCCCAAGTAGAGGAGGGGCTCAAACACAGGTATACAAATCCTCTCAGATTTTATAGTCTATTAGACATTAGCAAACTAATGAGAAGATAGACATAGAACTGGCTAGGTGGCCCAAAAAGACAACATCGATATTTCTTTCCTAGTTTCATTTCCCCACGACCCTCGGGTAGAGAGGAGACGAGGAGTCACGCTGCACACAGCACACTCTGATCGTGAGTTCGCGACGTATGCCTTACACATGCGGAGCTGGCGAGCCGCGCCATCGCGGAGAGCTAGACTACCGAGACACGGACACTGCACACGAGGACGGCGACCAGGCAGGGCTCCACGATGACGATATCTTGATTCTTGGCTTCTTATAAATTGCGATCACCGATCAGTTGTTTAGGTCCAAAGTATTTTTTTTTCTTTTTATTTTTAATCTAAATTAATTATTTGTATAACATTCCAGACTTCTAGTACTTTGTATCTATATAGTCATATTTTTCTTCTAATTTAGGTGTTATAATTTTAAAATGTTATCTAAAAAACATTTGTCAAGAGTGAGAAAAGAAAATGAATATATTGCTTTTTTAATCTACATTGTTCCTCAATAATTATCATACATCTACAAATATATTGCTTAATCTACATTGTTCTTGATAATTATCAGACATGTTAAATTAAAAATATGTTATTAAATTTACTTTCGTTTTACAAATAAAATTAGTGTCTGTATATTATAAGATTTTATACATCGTCAAGCGACCCCGTTACGACGAAATTGCAGAGGGCGTTAGAATCCTAGGACCGGCACTGCGCTCCGCCCCCAGCTTATATTAATCGCGAGTCCGTACGAACCCGGCACGCTCTAGCGTCGACCCGCCCGCGTGGATCCGTGTCGAGCCCCACCTCCCGTAAAAAAAAACACGCACACAGTCAGCGTGCCTGTGTGCGGTGAAGAGATATGCTCGTGTGCGGTGCTATCTCGCCCGGTCAGAGAATAAGAGTAAAGTAAAACAAATAAGGAAAAAAAAAAAAAAGAGAGAAAATAAAAATAGAAGTGCAGTATAGACAATCTGTTGTTTTAATCCACGAGAAGAAGCTATTCTACCAAACGTTTTTCTAAAAAAGCTTTAACTCCACTAGCGGAGCAAAAACTGGTCCATATGCCTGATTGTGAAAAAAAAAATCCACTAGCGGAGCTGCTCCACCAACCAAAACTAAAAAAAGTACTCCACCAATAAAGCAGAGTTATACTAAACTAGCCCCTACCGCACGCCGACCTTGAGGCGCCTGGCGCAAATCTCCGCGGAAGCGTGCGGCGGAGGCTAAAGTGGCACAGGGTCGTGCATGATTAGGACCAAAGGTGGAGGGAGACGCTCGACATCGCTGATGTGAATTCGCTTTTGGCTTAAGAGTTCGTGTTTGTTTCTGTGCTTGCTTACCAGACAACGTGCACAAAAATTGATTGGCCATCGAAGATTTTAGTATAAAGTTCGTATTACAATCTTTCTTTGTGTTAAATTTATCAGGCAAATGTTCTTGTGTGTTGCTCTTGGTCTATGTGAGAACTACTTGTTGGTTTTGTTAGTAAGTTAATTTATATTTATATTTCAATCTCACTCTAATTTAAATTTATCAGCTCCCGTTCATATTTTTAGGTGTTGAGATAAATCATGTCTGTATTAAAAAAAGTAAAACCAATTTTGTTAAGCATCTCTAACTCCAAGAGTTTCCTAGATCCATTCATAATCCTTGATTTTTAGCGAAATGAGAAAAAACTCATCTCCAATAACTCCTGATCCATCCTCCTAATCTTTTATAACCTGGGAAAGTCATCATGTTCCGTGTAAAGTTATGTGCTTTCGACTCGCGCGTATCTTCTGTCCCCACACGTGTTTGTCGGTGAATCTAGAGGTGAAAGGACGTGGAAAGAATAAAGAGTGGGAAATGGTTCCTGTTGTAAATGTACAAGAGAGAAATAATATATAAAGGTGCTTAGGATAATTTAGAAATAGTATATGATTCCTGATGTGAAATTGTGTTCTATATTTTAGGAGTGGATTATTAGAAACTCTTAGAGATAGTATTCTTTATTTCTTCCAATATATTTTTAGGAGTTGTAAAACTCTATGTTTTTTGGAAGAAAATATTGGATACTCTTGGAGATGCTCTATTTCTATAAACTAGATCTGCACACTATATAGGTGATAAAGATTATGAAACGAGATTTATATTTTCTAGAGAATTAGATTTATAAATTTCTTAATATGTTCGTCTGACACAAGCACGTGCGTTGTTGTAGGCGTGGATACAAATTTGTGACCCCATACGATGCACGGGCATATATCTAATATAAATACTCCCTCCGTTCTAAATTATAAGTCGCTTTGACTTTTTTTGTTACATCCATTTCGATATGCATCTAGATATAACGTATGTCTAAATACATAGCAATTTATATGTAAAAAAAAGTCAAAATGACTTGTAATTTAGAACGGAAGAAGTAATAATTATGAAATTGATATATACGGGCAACAGATTTATGGCCTGTTTAGGTCCATTAGCATTAAAGTTAGCAACTAAAATTAATACTAGTGAATCTAAATAGACCTGCTAATAAACCCGCTAATTATTAGCTAGGGCTCCTAACTAATAATTTTATTAGCTGAATTAGTTGTTAATAGATGCTAATACTTCATATACATCCTTAAACTCACTATCCAACTACCTATTAGCAGGTGAATCCACAAGACCTCCTACTAAAAATAGCTAGCTAAAAAATAACAATATTAGCTATTAGCAAGTAAATTTTTAGTATTAATGTATCAAACATGCCTTTAGCTAACATATATCTGTCATCAACCCTTCTCGTTCTTGTTTCTCCCTTGGCAAAGCGCGCATGTTCATCAAACTCCTTTGTCTTCCCATCTATCGAGACTGGGTGGTGGCGGCCCTCGGCTACTAGGTGTCTTGCTAGCACCGAGGATGGCAAGAATAAGGGTTGGCCTACTCGGTTTCGATGAACTCGCTACATCATAGAAGAAAACGCTAGAGGATGGTGGGAAGTGGGAACTCGCGTTGGTGGAGGGCAATGGCTTCAGGTGCGGTGGAGGGCATCGGCTTCAGGGGAGGTAGAGTTCTCCATAGTGTGGTGAAAATAGGCTGCTCTGGCTAACTCATAGCGGCAGACAATGGCAGGTTTAGTGGAGTGCTCCAGAGAGCGATAGAGGGAGCAGCTCTAACAAACTTGTGGTGTTGGAAGGAGCGGATGAATTCGCTGTGCATGGTGGAGGCGGGTATCTTCAAGGGCAGGACTGCGAGAGGGAGAAAGGAGGAGGTGTATGAGGAGGAGGGGAAGGTATAAGACTGCAAGAGATAAAGAGACCCACACCTTTTGGTTTCCATCTAATGACGAAAAAATCTAACAGATACAGGCCATCTAAATCTATTGGCAGATATAGCAATTCCTATAATAATTCCAGGCTTTCTTTTAATTTGAAATGATATTGTATAGATACTATTCTAGAAAATGTGCAATAGAGTATAGACAATATTATTGTCATAACAAATAAACTTACAACTAGCTAGGATGAGGCTTTTTCATTAAATTAAAAAATTCGGTTGAGACAACACGTCCAATTGAGTTGCTCATGAGTTAGCTTAATTAGCAAAGAGAATGGTGCATTGTGATGTGTGCGGCAATTAAGTCTTTTGCCAGACTCTTATTGGGTCCTAAAATTGCTTGAACACCTTGTATTTCAGGCTTTTTTAAATAAATAAATCGGTTGAGATAACACGTTCACTTGACTTGCTCATGAGTTAGCTTAATTAGCAAAGAGTGATGCATTGTGATGTGTGGGGCGTCTTTTGCCAGACTCCTTATTTGATCCTAAAATTGTTTGGATACCTTGTATTTCACGATAGAAGGAGCATGTTGTAGGTAGAGGTGCGGTGAAAAATATTCACGGGTAGGTCAAATGGCTGAACCTAACAACTACTCTTAGGGCATGTTTAGATGTTTTAGTTTTACAAAAAACTATGGTATAAAAAACAGTAGTTTTATAAGCCAAAGATGTGCAAAACCGGGGTTTAGAAAAAAAAACTCAAGAGGATTTTCTAAAACTCCAGAAATAACCACAGTTTTATATAATACTATATATGTAGTTTTAAAAACTAACAGGTTTGATGAATCCAAACACAGTTTGAACAACCTACAAAACTGTAGTATTTTTCCAATACCTAAAAAAAACTTCACAGCCAAACACGATTATTCTTTGTGTGGGTGGGTGGGGGGGGGGGGGGGGGGGACACGGTATATGATTGGTAGTATCATCATGTTAGCTTACCAATTCACAATTGGCGACGGTAGGAAATCAAAATTCTGGGATACAACATTGATGCTTGCAAGTCATGCCCCCAAAAGATTACTTCCTCTGGTCATAGATTCTTAATACTTTGATTGACATATGGTCATTTAAAAAAAAATACTATCAATAGTTTCCAAAATATCTAGTTTTAAAAAAAATCTTATATATGGATTTGTCTTGGGAAGTACTTCCATAGTATCATATTTAATTTGAAAAAAAAGTCACAACACTTGATTTTGTTCTAGAAAATAAACAGTGAAATAATTAAAATAATTAGGTAAAAAGAAAAACATTGTCTAATAAATAAGGGTTTTTTTGGATCTACGCTATTACAATTCTCCAAGTT